GAGCTTACTTTGAATCAAGTCTGAGACACAGTATCCTTTCATCTGTAAATACTTTTAATGTTATCTAAAAAATGAAAGTTTAATTCGTGGATATCTAGTAACTGACCCCATTTTCCCCTTGTATTTGGACCCAAATGTGGTTTCTCACATTTGATATGGTAGATTTGCCTTGTAACTTTTTTTTTCTGCCCTGTGATTTTAAAAAATTATTAATGCCGGGCATGGTGGCGCATGCCTTTAATCCCAGCACTTGGGAGGCAGAGGCAGGCAGATCTCTGTGAGTTCAAGGCCAGCCTGGTTTACATAGTGAGTTCTATCCAGGACAGCTGGGGCTACAGGGAGACCCTGTCTCAAAAAGACCAAAAAAAAAAAAAAAATTTTTTTTTTATTAAAGCTGGGCATAATGGCATATGCCTTTAATCCCAGCACTCAGAGGCAAAGACAGGCAGAGTTTGAGGCCAGTCTGCTCCAGGGCAGCCAGGGCTACATAGTGAGACCCTGCCTCAAAAATAAATCTTTTCAGTGTGTGTGTCTGTGTGTAAAGATGCCCATATCACAGTGCACATTTGGAGTCAGAGAACAAATTTCAAATGTTTGTCTCCTTCCTTCCACCTTATTTTTGAGGCTTGGTCTCTTGTTTATACTCTGCTGTGTAGCCCAGGCTAGCTGGCCAGCAAAACTTCCTGGTGATTCTTGTTTGCCTTCCATCTCACAGGAGGGCTGGGATTACAGATAAATGCTACCACATCTGGCTTTTTTCACATGGGTTCTGGAGATCAAATGAACTCAGGTTACCAAGCTTGTATGGCAAGTGTTTACCTGCTGAGCCATCTTGCTGGTCCCATTTAATTATTCTGTGTGCATGTGTACATACCTATGTGCATGTGGAGGTCAAAGGACAACTTGCGGGAGTCAGTTCTCGTCCACTAGCGATCAAACTCTAGCCTTTACATTTGCTTGGTTTACCCACTGAGCAATCTCATCAGCCCCTCTGTCTTTTAATGTGTAAACTCTTCCCTTCCATTTTTCCATAGTTGAAGAAACCAGGTCATTTGTTGTGAAGCGTTTGTCACATCTTGGATTTGGGCTATTTTCTCATGTCATTGAATGTGTTGTGTCCCTCTCATGAAAATGTTAAGGGGCTGGAGAGACAGATGGCTCAGAGGTTAAGAGCACTTACTACTTTATTATGAGTTTGGGTCACAGCACTCAAGTTGGGCAGGTCACAACCACATTTAACAGGGGATCTGATACCTACTTCTAGCCTCAACAGACGCCAACAATGTACAAATGTACACATAATATAGTATACTAACAATTATTTTTAAAGCTGGGTGTAGTGGTGCACACCTTTAATCTCAGCAGAGTTTCAGGCCAGCTGAGGCTACAGGGAGACCCTGTCTCAAAAAGACCAAAAAAATTTATTTTTAAAAAGGAAAATAGGGTGAGGTGCAGGAGGTGGCTCAATGGTTAAGAGCACTGGCTGCTCTTGCAGAGGGTTGTTCCCAGCACCCACATGGGCTAACAACCATCTAACTTCATTTCCATAGTGTAGTAGACACTTTTCTGTTGCTGTGATAGAAACACTGACCCAAGTAATTTATAGAAGGAAGAGTTTATTTGAGCTTATGGTTCCAGGGGAATTAGTCTGTCTTGGCCGGGAGGCATGGCAGCAAAGGTGGCTGGAGCAGGAGCAGGAGCAGCAGAAGCTAAGCTCTCAAATCATCACACAGGCACAGGAAGCAAGAGGACTGGAGATCTGGCAAGGCTTTAGAACTCTCTAAGCCCACCCCCAGTGATGTGCTTCCTCCAGGATAGCCACACCTTCTAAGACCTCCCAAAACAGCGCCATCATCTGGGGACAAAATGTCCAAACACTTGGAGCCTATGGGGGACATTTTCATTCAAACCACCACACATGGGATCTGACACCCTCTTCTAGCCTCCACATGCATTGTACAACACATTGTAGACACACGCAGGAAAAACAAACACAGATAGTGTTTTGGGGGGATTTTGAGGCAGGGTCTCCCTGTAGGCCCAGCTGGGCTGGAACTCACTATATATACCAGGTTGGCCTCAATCTCACAGAAATCTGCCTGCCTCTTCCTCCCAATTCTAGGATTAAAGGTGTTGCACCCAGCCTGATTTATTTTTACTTTACAAGTGTTTTGCCTGCATGTATATATGTGTAGCACTTGTGTGCTGTGCCCATGGATGCCAGAAGGTGGCATTTGATCCCCTGAACTGGATAGTTGTGAGCTACCATGTGGGTGCTGGGAACCAAACCCAAGTCCTCTACAACAGTAGTGAGTTCTTTTAATCACTGAGCCATCTTTCCAGCTCCAATTTTTTTTAAAAAAAAATTTTGAGTATTTTGCCGACATGTATTTAAGAGCACCATATGCATGCAATGTCTGCAGAGGCCAGAAGAGAGCACTGGATGTCCTGGAAATGAAGTTAAGGATGGGTGTTAGCCACCATGTGGGTGCTGGAAACTGAATCCAGGTTCTCTGCAAAAGCAGCTAGTGCTCTTAACTGCTGACCCATCTCTCCAGCTCTTAACTGCTGACCCATCTCTCCAGCACCCCTGCTTTATATTTCTATGCAGATACACAGTTACATATACATTTGTACTTACGTAAAAGGTTGCCTATCTGTACCTATTCCAACAGTATGTCCTGAGACATACTGTTCTCTTCTGTCTCATAGGTGTAAAAGCTGTTAGCTGATCAGTTCTGTGGACAGATATGGAGGTTTCTACCCTCTCCCCAGGTCTGGGCCTCTCACATGCTAGGCAACCCACTCTACTACTGAGCTACATATTATCTTCACCCCCTTTATTATGGCTGGCTTGTTGAGACAGGGTCTCACTAAGTTGTCAGGCTGCTTTTGAATTCACTGTGCCCCAGCAGGTCTGCGCTGTCAATTCTCTTGCCTTAGCCTCCCAAGTAGGCAGGGTTACAGGCCTGCACCACTAAGCCTGGCCAGCCTAGGCCTGCTCATATTTTGCGAGGGCACTTTAGGTAGATGCTGCCACCTGGGGTCACAAGGATCCCTTCTGATGGTTCAGCTGTGGAGTCTCTTTTGAATGTCTGTTATGGCTTTATTATCTGGCCAGCGGGGTGCTATGGATGAAGTATCCATGTCACTTCTCTCCTTGAGAGGATACTGAAGGGGATCACTTCCTCTTGCCTGGCAACTACTGTTTTCCTCCCTCTCAAATGTCTTGCAACAGAACTGCAGACTAACTGAGCTTGTCCCTCATTTGAATTTCAGCAAATCCCTCTATGAATACTCCAAGGACTTCATCGTGTCACTTGTTCTAGGAATGGATGTGATTCCCAGGTCAGTATCTCCTAGGTCAGTCTGTGGGGCTGGGGCAGTTGGAAACAGAGTATTGAGCTCAGTTCACTCTTTAACTGAACAGGTTAAGTGTGACCAACATGGAAGATCTGAAGAGAAGGATCCTGCGAGTGATCGCTAACTGCAATAAGCCAAAGGTAACCACCATTAGATCCACAAAAGGTTCCAAGTAGAGGCCAGGGGTGCGGTGGCAGCCTCTCAGCCCAGCATACTCTCGCTTCTCCTTCTGCTCCGTGAACACGAACAGGCTTTTGTCTAGGACTCTGCATGATCTGGAGAAAGCACACCAAGTACCACAGTTAGAAAACGCTGTGAAAGAACAGCCCTGTTCTAGTGACATATTTCCTTTCTGCCAGACTTACTAGTCCTGCCTGTGACTGACAGCACCCTGGTGCTTTTAGTCTTCCCAAGCTTACACAATAAGACAAACACATACCAACTTAGTTTCTGGTGGGCCAGCAACATGGCTCAGTGGGTAAACGTGCTTGCTGCCAAACTCAATGACCTGAATTCAATTCCTGGGTCCTACATGGTGAAAGACAAAAATCAACTCTCAAGTTGTCCTCAAACCTCCACATATATGGGGCTGGAGAGCTGGCTCAGCGGTTAAGAGCACCGGCTCTCAGATTCCCAGCACCCACCTGATGGCTAACAATCCTCCATATATATATATA